AAAATTAAAGACTGGTTAATTACCAATTAAGTGATATTTTTAGATCATGTAACATAAAATTGTATAGTCTGAAGAAAGGATGAGTTAAAAAATCGTGAATTTCTTGACAGGTAAAAATAAATGACCTAAATGGTAATCTCCTATAATTACTTTTTAAATGAGTGGTACTAACAGAGCTTTTAAAAAAAATGATTGTTAGAAAAATACTAAATCTACATGGGGTAAGTTATTCTAATATTACAAGCTAAAGAAAAATACTTACTTAAATAGGTTTCATCACGGAATGCCATATGTATAGAATGTAGTAAAAATTTAGCAAGTATAGTATAAAATTTAACAAGTACCGTATGACCAATGTCCCGTGCTTAAACTGACATAACAAGTAATCCTGTCAAGCACCTTGAATATTAATTATCAGAGTAAATGTAAGTAAATCAAAGAAATGAGCTTTAATTTGTGAGAAGGAATTCACTAGCTGAATAAATTCAATCTGAAGAAAACAATTGTGGCATTACAGGATCATTTTAGAATAAAAGTAGCAAAGCTTCATATAATCTAGCCTCACAGAACTAGGGTATTAAGAAATAGACTAAAAATTTAATCACTGCAAGTCAACTTATATACTTTGTGAGGGAGGAGTACTGGAAAAGTCCAATTTTTAAGTATTAAAGGTCATCTTTACAGTGATACCCAAAGAAAAAATATTATAATAAACTGGCATCAGCATGGATTGGCCAGTAAAAATACACATCGTCTAAGTAACTATTTATAATTCACGTATCTTTGTGCTTTCAAGAGTTTAAACGTTTCTGGTAGATCTTAATGAAATGCTAACAACTGAGCTCTTAATGAGTATGATATACAACTAAACATTTTTACCAAGTATCCTTATAGCGGGAAAAAAATAAAATCACTGACAATTCTTGTATCTATTTGCAAAGTCCTTTATGAGAACACAAATGGATGCCTACTGTCCATTTCACTCAAATTTAACAAAATACAATTTCCAGAAAACCAAATTAAAAAAAAAAACTCTTCCCAAAAAATTTAAAACATTGTAAATTTAATTTTGTCAGTGGTCATAGCGATCTTTCAACCAACCCACCATTCTCTTCAACCAGTGTTAAAAATAGCATAACGTCACTATTAATGTCATTCCATGAAAGACCGACTATTATTAATACAGTGAAACCTGTAAAAGCTGGAACTCAACAGGACTGCCCTGTTTTTCCAGGTCTCACAAGTTTTCTTCCTTTGATAGGGGACAGTCTTACCACTTTACTATCTCTCTCTATTAGTGGGAAATATTTGAGTTTTCTAGCTTACACAGGTTTACTGTACTTTATTTTTTTCTATTTTGAGAAATGGATATCTGATGACATATATGATATTTATTCATGTATTCTATTCTTACCCTGCTCCAATAACGAGAGTCACAATTCATGTAAGGAAACAAGAAGACTATTTTATAATCACCAAGACTTACTTATTTAGGTAATTATCATGATTTAAAATCCTTCCCAACAGCATTCATTTTTTAGTCAGACATTACTTTTTTATATTCTTTGCTGAATGTGTGATAAAGAAGTATATAATGGATGTAATGAACAAGTAAATTCTGGGTTCTCTTCATCCAAATGAAGAACTACTTAAGTTTCTTTTTCTAATCTGCCAATTAGGAAAACCAAATAATCCAGTTATGCCCATATCTGGAAGGTATATTTTAGCCTAATAATTACAGCATTAAAAAATTAAATGGATTAATAGACTTCATTTTCTTTTAGAATTTATGTGAAATTTTTAAATACATAAAATCTATGCATTTCAAAAGTTTAGAGACTGTTAAGTAAGTGAGGATTCTTAAGTTTAATATTATGTCTGGATCCTAAATTCTGTATTATTTGAAATTCAAGTTTTCCAAAGGAACATATTTTAGTTTTGAGTTCTAGGCATGGGGGAACCTATGTGATATATACAAATATGCTTTTCTATTTTCAAAGAGAAATGACATATCAGTTACAGAAAAGACACATACCAAATGAAAACTCGAAAAACACAATTTCCAGCAGTCAGTTAATATTGGGACAAAGAGCCACTGTAACCTCTGACAGTGATACTGTACTAAAGTACAATTTAATAACTGAAGTTGAATATTACAATCATCAGTCAATGATCTCTTGTCCAAAATCTTATGTTTACCAATGTGGGAAAAAGTTTAAAATTAAGGGCAATTTACATTAAAGAGTTGCAGATTCTACTGTGTTCCAAGAACTTTTAGTCTCTGGACATAACATCCATTTCTTTCACAGATATTTTTTAAAATCTTTCTTAAAAAATTTAAATATCAATTTTAATATTGAGGTAAAAAATGTCATATGTACCGTTTTTCCTCCAGGAAAAGATTAAATGATCTTTTACTTTGTGTGAATTACGGCCTTTTATTCTAAAAAAAATTCTAGTAGGTTTTACTAGTCATTTTGGAAAGGCAGCATCATATCTAGAAAATGTGACATACTCCAACAACTTCTTAGAGAAGTTAATGAACTCAGTGCAGTGTGATGTGTTTAAGACTCTGGACAGAAAGTTAATGCCTGATTCTTGATGATTATTTGAAGAAAATAATCTCATATGATGCTACCTTCTTCTGAAGTACTTAGAGATAATTAACGCTTGTTTATTATATTTATTCAAAACATGATTTCGAAGACCTCACTGAAACAGGTGACATTTCAGCAAAGACTTAAAGGAAGTGAGGCAAAGAGCTACCAGGGTATCTGGTGGACAAACTTTCCAGACAGTAGAAACAGAAAATGCAAAAACTCTAAGGTAGGAATGTGACTGTCCTATCCAAACAACAGCAAGGAGGACAGTGTGGGTGAGACAGAGTGGGCAAGGGATACAATAAGAAATGATTTCAGAGAAATAATGTGGGATCAGATCACGTATAAAGCCTTGTTAAATCACTATAAAGACCTGGTTTTCACTGTGAGTAAAATGGGAGGGCCATGAAAGGCTTTGAGGAGAGGAGTGACAAGAGCTGACATGTCTTTTAAAAAGATCACTCTGACTGCTCATTTGATAACAGATCAAAGGGAGACAGACTGAAAGCAGAGAGATTAATGAAATGGCTGCTTAACAGTGCAGAGAAAGAGAAGAGTTGTTGATGGCTTGGACAAGAGTAGTAGCAGTAGAAGAGATGTAGAATCGGTAAGAGTCTGTATATAACATAACGGCAGAGCTGACAGGATTTGTTGGATTGGATGGGATGTGAGGGAAAAGGCAAAATCAAAGACAATCATCAAGTGTTGTACCAGAACAAATGAAAGGATGGCGCTACCATAACTGAGAGGAGGAAGACTGCTGGAGGAACAGGACTGGTGGCAAGGCCAGGAGGATGATCACAAACTTGGTTTTGGACATGTTAAGCTGTAAATGCTTATTAGACTAATAAACAGAGTTAATGATCATTAACAAGCAGTTGAACACACAAATCAAGAGCACTGGGAAGTGACCCTGTATGCCCAAAAATAATAAATTTAGAATATCATCAATGGAATAAATATATGAAGTCCCCAAACTGAACCCAAATAGTTAAATGACTACTTGATTATAACATATTTGAACTTAAAATTTACAAGTAATACCCCACACCAAATTGTACAACACAAAAATTAAACAGTCCTAAGGTAACTATATTTTAAATACGTATTTCCTGTGGTATATCCATTCTTCTTCTTTTTTTTTAAAGTAAAATTTCTCTAAGGAAAGAGAGACTAATTTTACTTACTAATATTTAACCTTGTTCAGATTTCCACCACTGCTACTAGAACAAAGGGTTCGAAATATATACAAGATGCATAAAAAACATATTTAAGCCCTACCAAGTATCAGACATATGCTAATTGCTGGATATACAGTGGTGAATAAAGCAAATACAAATAGTTAATTGTGAAGATAGGTAATAAGTAAATAAATGAGGATAGGTAATAAGTAAATAAATGAGCATACAAGTACAAACTGGTAACTGCTATGAGAAAATAATATGGGGAACTGATCTTACATTGAGTTATCCTGCAAGGACTAACAGCGTAATATTTAAGCAAGCAAACACATTTCTCTAAAGTCTAATTTATTTAGTTTTAGATCTGAATTATCTGTTACATAATTAACATACAAACCTGCATTTCTCAAAGTTTTCTTCCTTTTTCTCTTAATTTTCTATTTGTTAGACATGAAAACTGTTAGTAGTCAATTAGGAGGTACTCAAAATAGTTTATAATCTTTATAAATAAGCACTTTAACTATAAATAACACTTTTTGTTTATAGTCACACTCAGGAAAATGTATTTTTACTCTAAATATACAAATATTTTGTGTATGCCTAAATTAATACTCAGTTAAATTAACAAAAACATTCACAGTGAAATTGATATGAAAAAATCTAAGTTCTTAGTGGCTTCAAGACTGACACAAAGAAACATCTTAAACTGTATTTCACTAAAACGATGTCAGTACCATTCCTACTTCAAGTCTCAGTAACCCAACATGGTACAGTTTCATACTGAGTAACAAACAATGTTATTTAACAAGTAGGTCACAAAGTTGATATATTCCATTTTATTTATCAGATACTTGGGTACAGAGTAGCCACCAAAGCAAGAAATCAATGTTTATTGTTGGTGTAAAGACAAAAGAACCCAGAAATGCATATTACCAAAGAAGGAATATTCAATACTGTTTAACAGAAAAATTATACCTATAGGTACTAAAATGTATATAACCTTGTTGTCAGATGTTTTGACTTTTCCTTAAGGCATGCCACTTTACTTATATATTTCAGATAGGATTATTTTTTGATATACCTTTTAGATTATTTGGAAAACCTCACACTGATAAATCTATTTTAAGTATAAATTAGTGCATAGATTAGATGTTATTACTGTAATTGTTGCTATAGGACTATTTTAAGCAACTCATTTTGTGAGGTGGTAATAACTTACCTGAAATGTAGATGACCTTTTGATCGCTTCTTTGCCCAAGGGAATTGGTCACTTTACAGACATAAACACCAGAATGATTGAAAGTCAATGGATGGACGAAATGAAGAGTATTATCTGAAGCCAATAAACCATCAGGCCACTGTCCATCCAACCTACATTTTAAAAAGTTTGAAATTATCTTAAATATCTTCAACATATACTCATCAACAGCTACTTAAATTAAGACATTACACTTTTGAGATGTTAGGAAAAGAACCATTATCCCTTAGCTGCAGTACAATACAAAATGAAAGCATATAATAAGAAGTTATGATTCCTTCATTTTAATAAAGATGAACTAATAAAGTCCACTACGAATGCACATTCTTTCAAAATATCAATCCACGTTAAGTGTAGCTACGCCAACATATCAGAATGAGAGGAGAGAAAAAAATATGCAATTTTAAAAGAATTATATTCAGAAAGCTGGAAAATTAGAGCAATTTATTATTTGAAGATGGACCCACAATATCGAATCTAATTCTCCATGGATTATGGATCTACTCATGATATATATATACTTTTCTTAATGAAAAGTCATTTCATTTAAATACATGACAATGTTTTATCACCTTCTGTAACATATTCAGAAAGCATCACTTAATACTGAGAAAATCTATAAAGTACCCCATCCTAAGATTATTAGCTTCTAAAGCATCAAGAAAGGTCCTCTTATAAAATAATTTCATTTAAAAAGGTGGGTATCTATGATAATAAAAAAACAAAGCACAATTTGATGTCAATAATAACTCTTTTTAAAAGGTGCCTATACTAACTGGGCTAAGAGGTCCAGTCTAGTGTACATATTACTATAAACCATATTAGGAATAAAGTCCCACTATAAGAACTCTGGGGCCCTGGTGGCACACTGGTTAAGAGCTCGGCTGCTAACGAAAACGTCAGCAATACAAATCCACCAGCCGCTCCTTGGGAACCCTAACGGGCAGTTCTATTCTGTCCTATAGGGTCACTAAGAGTTGGAACTGACTCAACAGCAACAGGTTTGGTTTTTTTTTTTGTTTACAAGAACTCTAAGAACCCCATGTGGCACAAAAAGTTTGAGCTTGACTGCTAAACTCACCCAGTGCTATGGCAGAAGAAGAGTCCTAGCAGAATGCTTCTGTTAGATTACAGCCAAGAAATCCCTAGACAGCAGTTCTACTCTGTAACACGAGGTTGTCATGCGTCGGAATTAACTCAATGGCAACTAACGATAACACAACATAAAAACTCTAAGCCATTCATTACAATGGAACTAAGTAGAGTGTTAAAAATCACTTTTCCAACCTAACAGTACCAAACACACACACACACACACACACACACACACACACACACCAATAGGTCTTTATTTTGAAACTCTTTGTAAAGCACACGTAAGTTACTTTATCCTGTTGTCTTAACAGGTTAAAAACTTAAGTAAACACAGACACTCAACTGTTATAATCTGAGCTACATGAGTTTCCAAAATTGTTCGTTCGCTCATTCATTCATTCAATTACTGGGAGTTTACCATTCGCCATACTCTGCTCTATGAAGAATGGGAATTCCAAAACACTTAATTGTGCTCGTGCAGAACGTGTACACAGACCAAGAGGCAGTCATTCTAACAGAACAAGGAGATATTGTGTGGTTTAAAACCAGGGAGGTGTGCATCAGGGTTGTAACCTTTCACCATACTTATGCAATCTGTATGCTAAGCAAATAAGCGAAGAAGCTAGACTATATGAAGAAGAACACAGCATCAGGATTGGAGGAAAACTCATTAACAACCTGCAATATGCAGCTGACTCAATCTTGCTTGCTGAAAGTGAAGAGGACCTGAAGCGCTTACTGATGAAGATCAAAGACTATAGCCTTGAGAATGGATTACACATCAACAAAAAGAAAAGAAAAAATTCTTACAACTGGACGAATAAGCAACATCATGATAAAGGGAGAAAAGACTGAAATTCTCAAGGACTTCATTTTACTTGGATTCACAATCAACGCCCATGGAAGGAGCAGTCAAGAAATCAAACGACATATTGCATTGGGCAAATCTGCTACAAAAGACCTCTATAAAGTGTTCAAAAGCAAAGATGTCACCTTGAGGAGTAAGATGTGCCTGATCCAAGCAACAGTGTTTTCAATCACCTCATATGCACACAAAAGCTGGACAATGAATGAAGAAGACCCAAGAGGAACTGACACCTTTCAATTATGGTGTTAGTGAAGAATACTGAATATACCACGGACTGCCACAAATCTGTCTTGGAAGAAGTACAGCCAGAATGCTCCTTAGAAGCAAGGATGGCAAGACTGCGTCTCATATACTTTCGACATGGTATCAGGAGGGACCAGTCCCTGGAGAAAGACATCATCATGCTTGGTAAAGTAGAGGGTCAGCAAAAAAGAGGGAGACCCTCAATGAGATGGACTGACACAGTGACTGCAACAATGGGATCAAACATACCAACAATTATGAGGATGGCACAGGACTGAGAAGAGTTTTGCTCTGTTGTACACAGGGTCACTACGAATCAGAACCGACTTGACGGCACCTAACAACAACAGCTCTGCTGATGTTACTGAGATGTGTAGGTAAATAAGATTTGGTCTCTGCTTTCAATCATCTAAGTACATAGTAGAGAAAGAAGACATGAATTGAATTGTGTTCCCTAAAAGTACATGCTGTAAATCCTAATCCCTATAGCTGTGGATGTAATCCCATTTAAGAATATGGTTTTCTTTGACATGTTAATGAGGACATCTGTGTAAGAATATGAACTAACAGTAATGAAAAGGTAGAAGAAGCAAATCAACACTAGAGAATAGGTGTAATGAAATTGTTCTATAATCTCAAGTGAAGTGAGTAGAGAAATACTCAGTAAAAACTTTTCGAGTCTTCTTAAGAAGACTTTGGAAGAAGATTTTTGCAAGCATCAGCTTTCAAAAGCTGAACACTTTTTCCTAGAAAAAGAATACCTGAGAATGAATAGGAACTATATATATCACCAATTTACCTCAATACTTTAGGTCCAAAATTCTAATCCCTTTAATTCTCTGGAAACTAAATGGTTTATAATCTTTTTTAAATTGTTGATTCAAATAAGCCCGAATCAGAAAAATCTAACTATCACATTAAACACAAAACAAAACAAATGAAGTATATAACATTATTACCTGCTCCACACAGATTTGAAGGGTGGCGGATTTGCATCAGCATTACACTTGAGATTAACACCTTTTCTTCCTACAAACCAATTTCCATCATACCCTGTTACTGAAACTTCAGGAGCATCTATAAAATAAACACGTGATGAACAAATTATTTTTTGTTAATGATAAAACAATATATGATGAGAAAGCATTAGCAGCCTCATTAGAAAAACAGGGATCGTTTTTTCTTATTCTCCACATACATAACCAGTACTGAGCACAGTACTCAGTAAATACTAGCTGACTAAAAGATAAAAGAATGAGTGAATGAACAATGAATAGCCAAACAGTAGGCAACTACACACATGTGCAGTTCTAGTTAGACACTGAAAGTAGGAATATTCATAAACATATAATCACCAAAAGCAAAATATAAGAGTCCTATTATGAGATGTAGAGATATATGGACAAAACAAACATTATAGTACTTAATTCAAAACTCAAACATGGCATTTAAGCCCCATGTAGTACAAGTCACCATATAAAACTGTCTTTAAAGAGATGTTTCATCTAAAAGGAAATATCCTCTGTCATGGTTTGAATTATGTCCCCGCAAAAATGTGTGTATCAGTTTGCCTGGGCCATGATTCCTGGTACTGTGTGATTTTCCTATATGTTGTAAAACCTGCCTCTATGATGTTAATGAGGGAGGATGGGTGGCAGTTGTGTTAGTAAGGCAGGACCTGATCTACAAGACTGGATTGT